GTGCGTGCGTGCGTGCGTGCGTGCGTGCGTGCGTGCAGCAAGAGAGAATGTAATCGCATGTCCTTAAAATGTCATGTGTATGCGCGCGTGTAGCAGTCAGCTGATCGTCGCGAGGGCCCCGCGTACCGCCTGCGTTCGACAGTAAGTTGCGCGCCCCTATCTACCTACCATACGCGGCCAATAATTCGCTAACTATTTCTTGTTATAATTTGAAAACTAAGCGTCGGATAAAATTTTGGTAAAGGAAAAATCTTCTCAAAATTAAGTCAGGAATATGACATTTTAAGGACAAAAGTTTATTTTGGGACACCCTGATATATATATATAGAGTGCATAAATTTAATCCATACTTAACTTTTTTGTCGAAAAATTTCTTAAAACTAGAAAAGTGTTACAATGAGTCAAAACCATGTGGAAAGTGTTTACGAAAAATGCATGTATATCAATTGCCGTAATGGGAAATATTCAACGGAATCGCATTTATTTAGATTTCCTGCAATTACTGATGCAAGATATCACTTATGGATACGAAACAGCGGTAAGTTCCTTATCATATTTGTTATATTAATTGCATGAAATTTTCTTAAGGGAGTATTTTAGTTTAGAACGCGTATATAAAATATATAGTATTTTTAGGAATAAAAAAATGCTGCACATATTTTTTTACGCTTTGACACATTTATATCAAATTTATTAGCACATATTTAACAAATATCTGCAAATTTTTTTATGTTTAAATGTTTATCAGGTTTTATGTTACGTGAATTTAAAACCAAACATATTTTAGAACTTGTCTGACACGCTGTATTACAAACTACTGAAATTATTGTCATTACTATGTTAAAGAAAATCGATCACAGAAAATAATAGAATACAATCTCAAAAAATCTTTTTATTCCTATTGTAACTGTCTTTCACTTTTTATATTCTGAAAAAATGTTATTGATGCTCATCATTATTTTATGAAAACGGATTAAATCATTAGAATGCAGTAGATTTAATTTTTGGTTTTGCATTGTTTTCATGGAATTCATCGTGAATAAGTGATTGATCGTGCTTAATGAATAAGTGAAACTTGATCGTAATCAATTTGTTATAACTTTAGTGTATACGTAAAAATATGTATACACTAAAGTAGGCACTTGCCGCTGATGTCAAAATCGACTTTTTTGTGTATATATTAAATATTTGTTTGATTATTGGTTGAAAGACAATTACTGCAATAACTTCCTACAATATAGTAATTATTTTTTCATATATGTTAAATTCTAACGATTTTGTTAAAAAATCGATACTTGTTTTTTAAAATAGTAATATTTTACAAAATTTTTTGTTAATCTTTGTT